GGCCTGATGAGCTGGGCCACTGCGCTCCCCAGAACATAACCAGGAATGCCAGCCTGACCCTTCTGCTCCCCAGGCTCTGGCTAGTGTGGATCCCAGGCCTGCCCCTTGTCCTCAGCCCCAAGTGCCACAGAATCCCCTTCCCAGGATGCATCTGGACTTTGGGCCAAAGGAAAGCTGATCCTGACCTCACTGGCTCACTCGATCAACCATTACCCCACTTCGCAGAGATGCCAACATGCACCATGTAGCAGACACTGCGACTGCTGCTTTGTGTCCCCAGCATTCACGTGTTCAGGGGTGAGTGACTATGATGACATTCGTTTATTCAACTGTGGTTTTGAAAGGTGAGGCCTTTGGAAGATTAGAATTAAGGTCACGTAGTGGGGAGCATCCGTAATTGATACCTGGCAGTGGGTTTATAAAGCAAAGGAGGGACCAGCAGATGGCATAATGGTTACATCGCTGGACTCCCATGTAGTCAACCATGGTTTGAGTCCCAGACCCAGCAGCTTTGAACTCAGCTGAGTGAGTGTACATGAGTGCCCCAAATCCCAAGGAGAATGGAGGAGAAGGGAGTGCAGCATGGCATTCCCCCTGGGGGGCGTGATTTCTCGCTTTCTGTCTCTCTCTGTCTCTCCAGCAAGCACATGTGCCCTATAGGAAAAATTTCTCTTAAAAAACACATAAACGGGGGCCAGCAGGTGGTGTGGTAGTTAAAGCACTGGACTCCCACATGGCTGACTATGGATCAAGTCCCAGGCCTGGCAGCTTGCTTTCTTACTTTCTCGTGGGCACATGTGTCCTATAGCAAATTAATGAATAATAATAAATAGAATTAAATTATTCTTTAATAAAAACATAAACAGGGCCCAGCAGGTGGTGCAGTGGTTAAGGTGCTGGGCTTCCACGTGGTCAGTCTCCGTTTGAGTCCCGGCCCTGGTGGCTTGCTTTCTCACTTTCCCTTTCTCTATCTCTCTGGCCAAATATTTGAAAAATAATAAGTAAAATAAATCATTTTTTGAGAGGTTTTTGCTATAGGATACATATGCTCACCAGAAAGACGGAGAGAGACAGAGACAGAAAGAGAGAAATCAGCCCCCAGAAGGGATGGCCATGCCGCAATCCCTTCTCCTCCATTCTCCTCTCGGGATCTTGGGCACGCACGCACACGTGCCCGGCATGAGTTTAAGCCAACTCAAACATGGGAGTCCAGCGACATAGCCATTATGCCAACTGCTGGTCCCAGTAATAATGAATTTTTTTTTTTTTGAGGTTTTTCACTATAGGGTGCGTGCGCTCACCAGACAGAGAGAGACATAGAGACAGAAAGCGAGAAATCACCCCCAGGGGGGATGGTCACGCCACAATCCCTTCTCCTCCATTCTCCTCTCAGGATCTTGGGCACGCACGCACACGTGTCCGGCGTGAGTTTTAAGCCACCGGGTCCGGGACGCGAACCGCGGTCGACTACGTGGGAGTCCAGTGACATAGCCATTACGCTAACTGCTGGTTCCCTAAATAATGATTTTTAAAAAGCATAAATAAATAAGTAAATAAATAAAGCCAAGGAAGTAGACCAGATCAGATGTGTCCACAGACGTGGACAATGCACTCGCCCTCTGCCATGCTGTGACGTGGTCACAAGACCCTCACCAGGTGTGGCCCCTGGGCCTCCAAACAGAGCTAACTACACTGCTGCTCTCGTAGTAGAGTTTGTAGGCATTTTCTGTCATTAGCAACAGAATGAACCAGAACAGACTGTTCCTACTTCACTCTGGAGTCCCTAGATTGGAACTGTACTTTCAGACAAGAATCTTGTCCCACAGTGTAGGCAGACGTCTGCGGTGGCCTGAGGGTCTGTGACATCACACTGCCCCGCCTGGCTCTACGCTCCAGGTTGAGAATACCAGGCTAGGACACGGCTCAGCCCATTATCAAACCTCAGTGTGAAATTTCACACCGTGACCACGATGCGCTTGGAAAGATCTGAGGCAGTATCACCCCAACGGTAGGTATCACCCCATGGTAGTCACGCCCCGGAGTTTTCTGCTCTGCCTCATTACAAACGCTCACTGGTCAGGACCCACTCTCCACCCTGGCTGTATCACTGGGGGGCTGTCATGAATGCTAACACCCAGGCCGCATCCCTGACCACTTAAGGCAGAGAAACTCCAGGGTGGGGTTCAGGCGTCAGAGGCAGTTAAGCTCCCCCAGGTGGCTCCAATGAGCAGCTGAGGTCTGGCTCAGCGGTTCTCCAAGTGCGGTCCCCAGCCCAGCCAGCAGCACCGATGACATGTTAGACAGACACACGCTCCGACCGGGTCCAGCCCAACCAAGCCAGCGGCGCTGGGCAAGGGCACCCCGCAGTCCTTAGTGTAACAAGCCCTCCCGCTGCTTCTGACGCTCGCGCAGGTGTGAGACCCCACGTCTGCAACTGGACTACACTGACTTCTTGACCCGCCAATGGGCCACATGACCACACAGCTTGACAAACACTGCACCAAAGGAAGCTCCAAGTGAGAGAGTAGAAGCTGGTTCTAGGACCAACATGGTGTAATGGTTACGTCGCTGGACTCCCACATGGCCAACTGTGGTTTGAGTCCTGGACCCGGCAGCTTGAAACTCAAGCCAGGCGAGTGTGCGTGCACGCCCAAAATCCTGAGAGGAGAATGGAGGAGAAGAGTGGAGGATGGCAGCATGGCCGGTCCTTTCCATCTCTGTCTCTCTGGCAAGCACATGTACCCTATAGCAGAAAGAGAATAACCGCTCAGAAAAAAAAAGTTGATACCAGGGAAACCACTGCCTTTCCGGAGAACCGGCAAACGTCTTCTTTGGTGATGAGAGCCACGTTCTAATCTACCCCCTTCTGCTGCTACCCGTAGCCTCAGTAATTACATGGGTCCTTACAGGTCCCTGAAGACTCAAAAAACAATAAAAAATTTTAAAAAAGGGACCAGCAGTTGGCGTCATGGCTATGTCGCTGGACTCCCATGTAGTCAACTGCAGTTCGAGTCTTGGACCCAGTGGCTTAAACTCACGCTGAGCGCGTGTGCGTGCGTGCCCAAGATGCCGAGAGGAGACACTCGAGAAGGGATTGCAGCGTGACCATCCCCCTGGGGGGTAATTTCTCACATTCTGTCTCTCTGTTTCTCTCTGTCTGGTGAGAGACAAAACCTATAGCAAAAACCTCTTTAAAAAAACCCCATAAAAACAGATCCCTGAAGACCTTTGAGGATCCTCCTAGGCGCTGTCCTTCACGCAACTTTTTCCTGTGCACGAGCCTTCTTAGGAAAGGGACACAGCGTCAGGGCTGTCACTACACCCTGGGGACCCAGTGAGGCCAGGTGGGGGTAGGGCAGCTGAGCACGGAGTACTTCCTGTGGCTTCTGAGGCTCTCTGGGCCCCGGCTGCAGCGTCCCTGTCCCAGTCAGCACCTGGCTGTGGTTTCCTGTCTGCAGCTGCTGCTCTCAGGCCAGCCCCCTACCCCGACCAGCCAACGGGTGTGTGCGAGGGTGGGGTGCTGCTGCTGCCTGGAAAATCGCAAGAGGGGCCCCCGAGAGGCCAACCCAGGAAGCTCTGAGGGGAGAGGGAGGGACGCAAAGATGGGCACTGAGGTGGAGGACAGGCCCCTGACAGCACCTCACAGTCGGTTCACACTAGGCCAGGCACTAGGGTCTGTCCTGACTCCGGCTCCACCCTAGGCTCTCGCTGTGCTTGCAATTCCAACCTTGCAGCCGGTGCGGGCCTTCTGGGTGCCCCGAGGGACGGGCCTTGGCTGGGTCAGAATTCTAGCTGTGTGCCCGTGTACCCAGCAAAGGGTTTCTCTTCTCTAAGCCTCACTTCCCTCCCCACTGCCAGAGAGAGAAAGAGGGAGTGAGGGAGGGGGGCGTGAGAAATCACCCCCCGGGAACATGGCCGTGCTGCGACCTCTTTTCTTCCACTCTCCTCGTGGGACTTTGGGCACACACATGTACCCGGTGTCTTTTTCAAGCAGACAGGTTTGGGGCTTGACCCACACGCTCAGCCATGGGGATCCGGCCACCTTAACACCATGCCTCCTGGCTGGCTCAGAGAGCCAAGCGTCTTAGCCTGGCATCTAAGGCCCTCTGGGCCCTGGCCTTGCCATCTCACCTCACTTCCTGTCCCCCTGAGGCAGCTGCTGGTCCACTCCCAACATCACTGTCTACAGCCTTGGCTCCTGTGAGAACACGACTTCAAGTTTCTGATCGGCCGACAGCATAATGGTTACATTGCTGGACTCCCAGGAAGTTGACTGTGGTTCAAGTCCCAGACCCGGCTGCTTAAAACTCATGCTGGGCTTGGGACCAGCAGTTAGTGTAATAGCTATGTCACTGGACTCCCACGTATTCAACTGCGGTTCGCGTCCAGGACCCGGTGGCTTAAACTCACGCCAGGTACGTGTGCGTGCGTGCCCAAGATCCCGAGAGGAGAATGGAGGAGAAGGGATTGTGGCGTGGCCATCCCCCCTGGGGGGTGATTTCTCGCTTTCTGTCTCTCTGTCTCTGTCTGTCTGGCGAGCGCAAGCGCCCTATAGCGAAAACCTCTCCCCCAAAAACAAACAAACAAAAAAACTCATGCTGGGCGCATGTGCATGCATGCCCAAGATCTGGAGAGGAAACTGGATGGAAAGGGATTACAGTGCGGCCATCCCTACCTTGGGGGGCGGGGGGTTATTTCTCGCTTTCTGTCACTTTGGCAGGTGCTCATGCCCTAAAGCAAATATCTCCCTCTAAAAAAAAAAATCAAACCTCACGTCCACACCTCCATGAAGTCTCCCCTGATTGCTCCAGAATTAGTCACCTCTCCTCCACCTCTGTAACCTGCACCAACCCTCCCAGCCTGGGCCCCACGAGGCCCCGTACAGCCTGGGCTGGGAATGGTTTGGAAACTGGCTGGCTGAGTGGACGGCTGAGGAGTAGGGAAGCCTGCTCTAGCGGAGGACACCCCACATGGGAGGCGGGGGGGCCAAGCTTGCCCACCTCTCCTGCTCTGGCTCTCGCGGATGAGAAAGGCCCCTCCACAGTTCCCGGGCAACAGCAGCAGCTCCTCTGCCTTCTCCCGGCTCAGGCCCTCGTACAGCCACCTGGGGGGGCAATGAGTGGGACGGAGGTTCACCTGGGGCAGGGCGAACCAGGACTTCGCTGGGACCCCTGCACCCCCTCCGTGGGACCCTGACAAGGCCCCCTCTCTGGGTCCCGAAGTTCTGCCTGTACCATGAACAGCTGGCCCTGGGTCCGAGGTCTCCTCTCCAGCTTGGTCCTCCAGGTCCTGGCTCCAGGGGCCGAGGAGGACAAGTTCCTGGGATCAGCCTCAGCAGTTCCCGCCTGGAGACCTCGTTCCCAAGTGGCCAGTGATCCCCACCTCTGTGTCACTGCCGGTCCCACCCAGCTCCACATCTACCCACTCGCCCTCCCAAGCCTCCGCCTTCCCAGGGATCTTCCTCTGCTTTGCCGGAAGACACCACGCAGGACGTCCCCACCTGGGCACCCCCTCCCTCAGCTCTCACTGCCAGCCCCGCCGCCCCCCAAACCCAGACCACGCCTGCCCCGTCGGGCTCCCGCGTCACAGGCCACCCAGTGCTGGAACTGTCTGCTCCTCTGGGGACAGACCTGGCCGGCTCTCCTGTCCCTGCGCCACCCGGGGCTGGGTATTAGGGCGATGCTCGTGGCAAGGGAAAGCTCGAAGCTCCCGAGGCAGCAGGTGGGAACTCACCCATGCGAGACCTTGGCCACGTGGACGCTGGGGATGCTGTACTCTCTGCCCGAGACTTGAGACCGCACTGTCCACCAGTCTCCTTCCCTGGACAGAGAAGAGGGGGTGCCTCTTTCAGAAGAGCCATGGCCCCAGGAATGGCTCACTGCGGGTCTACAAAGACCTCCGAGGCTGGGTCCTGACCCAGCTTCCTGGCACCAGCTGGTCCAGGGACCACCTAGGCCTGGGCCAGGGCAGGGCCGGGAGGACGGCCTGAGCCAAGGCTCCCCGGTACAAGGCCCGCTTGCCACTTCTCCCGGAGCATGTCCAGGGTCACACAGGAGCGCGTGTCCTGCAGGAAAGGCCCTGTCCTCCCGCTGCGGACGTCGGGGACCTGGTGCCACAGACTTACTCGGAGACGATGGGCTGCGGGTTCCCGGCTCCCCCAGCCTCAGCGAGGGCTCGGCGGGCTCACCTGCTGGAAAACCGCCCAGGGCCACGGCTGTGACCTTGCTTCTCTCTGGATGGAGAGACAGAGACAGTCACCCTGCGGCCAGCCCTCCCTGCAAACCTGGTCTGGCAGAGTCTGGCTCCCCTCATCGCCTTCCCACAGGGCCTTGCAGGGAGGCCCATCTGCTTTTGGGGGCCTCCGGGGATCGGACGCTTTTACACATGGCTCTCCACAGACTCCCCCTTCCTCATGGCGGAGCGTGTTGTCCCCATGGGAGCGCGCATGCACAGTTTCCTCCATGGGTCATGCGTGATCCTCCAGCCCGTGGGATCTAACTCGGCCCTGCGGCCTCCTGGGCAGGGCATCACTGCTGCAGCCTGGGCGGGTCTCCCGGGACCCTGGCAAGGGTCGCTGCCACTCCCAGAACTGACAGCCTCCAGCTCCGGGCAGTGACCTGCGCCCGGCTTCTCGGCTTCTGGAAGCTGCCGAAGGGGCAGGCGCTAGATGGACTGGCAGGGAAGGCAGGGGAGCCTGGCGGCTGGGCCCTGGGTGGGCGCGGGAGGTGTCGGAGAGGGCGTCTCCCGATGTGGAATCCCACGGCTGCTGATTCTCGGCCCCGGCTTCCTCGCCCCCAGACGGACTCTGTTCCCCACCTCTCCGGGCTCCTGCGGGGCCGTGAAACCAGCGCGAACTCTCTTTGTGGCTGGCAAGTGCTGGCCCCCAGGCATGGCTTTTCCACAGCCTTTGTCCAGAGCAGCAGCCGTGGGGCTGTGCTGCCCTGAGGTGTCACCTGTGGGCCGGGTGTCCAGCCCAGTGTCCTGGCCACCCTCCCTGCCTGAGCACCTTTGCCTGGCCTGGACTGAGCTCAACTCTGATGGGGACAGGCCGAGAGGCGAGGGCACCACTCCGACACCACCCACTGCGCCCCCGGCCTGGCTGGGCCCTGGGTGGACAGCAACCACATGTCTCAGGACAGGCTCATGGGCAGTGACTGTCCAGGTCACAGAGCGAGGAGGAGACCCAGTCCGAGGCCCTCGGGACAGGACTCGCTCCCCTTGTCCAGCTCAGGAGTGGCCCCCTCTAAGGAAACATCTCTGTGCCTGCCGGGACCCTCTAGGCCTCTGTGGCTACGGAGGCCACTTCGCCCACACGGAGTGGGGGCCTCCCCTCTG